ATGTATTTACATGCATATATGTATAATTTTTGCTCTGGGAACAAGGAACCATGGTAGGTGCTGAAGAAGATGCAAATTAGACCTATCAGCCTTTTTGCCCCCAAATACCAAGCATAAGAGATAAAATGAGAATATAGATAAATAACTATAAGAACAGTATTTGGCTACATCATGACCTTTGGAGTCAGATGTGATGTCTGTGTGCCATGCCACTGACTGGAAGACTTGGCAATACGGACTCTTTTTATATAATAAAGACCTAGTATTTGTATCAGTATGGACTAAGTTATGCTGCCGTAAAAAAAAAATCTGAAATTATAAGAAAATTTTATTTCTGTGAGGGTCGGTTGTGGGGCCTGTCCCACACTATCTTCATTCCAAGACCCAGGCTGATAGAGCAGGAACCATCTGAAATGTTGATAGTCACCATGGCTGAAGGAAAGAGAGAGTACCTCTCTCTACTAAGAGACTAACTCTTTCTTAAAATTCTATCTGGAGGGGATCCCTGGGTGGCTCAGTGGCTTAGCACCTACCTGCCTTTGGCCCAGGGTGTGATCCTAGAGTCCTGGGATCGAGTCCCACATCGGGCTCCCTGTATGGAGCTTGATCCTCCCTCTGCCTATGTTTCTGCCTCTCTCTCTGTGTCTCTCATGAATAAATAAATAAAATCTTTTAAAAAAAATTCTACCTGGAAGCAACACATGACTTTGGCTCACATTTCCTTGACCAGGGAAAGCCGTACAACTCAAGATAACTTCCAAGTGGCTGAGGAAGAGCAGGAAAACTTTTATAAGAAACAACTTGTCACATACTTGACACATAGTCATTCTAAAGTCCTAAAATACATCAGTATCTAACAAAGCTAACAGAATAGGACAATGAAACAATTTGGCTTTATCACGGTAATTGCAAAATGAACAAACATCTCTTGCCTTGTCTTCTAAAAGTCATTTTGGTTATTTGCACTTTGGTTTGTCCTGTGTGCACAGAACCTCTGAAAAATGGAAAGATTCATTTAGGCAATGAAATAGGAAAAGAGTACATTTAACTTCATATGTTAGCAACATACCCCAATCCACTTCTCCTTCGAAAGGAAAAATACTTCGTTCACAATTGCAACAGTTTTCTCAAAATTTAATTTTTCTTTTCCTTCTCTCATACCTCAGGATTTGGTGGCAGTTGCAGGGTTCTGACACCAGGTTGCACTGAAAATATTCGTAGTGTATGAAAAAGAAAGACCCTCTTTATTCTGGGGCCTCATCTACTTACAGGGACCCTGGAGAGAGTCCTGAGGGTGTTCAGGTGGACCTGGCCCTAGGATTAGCCAGTAGAACTAGATGGTTCTCAGCTACCTCCTCCTACTCCAGCTTTCACATCACCCCTGCTCCTACATAGTAATAAGGAAGCAGCAACTACAATGCTAGTTAGGGATTCATAAACAAATGTGAAATAACGCAGATATGATTTCACATTATGGTGGCATTTGCCAACATAAAAATTATTACAACTTTGCTATAAATTGTTCTGTAAATTTTACAAAATATGCAAAAACTGACATTTCAAGAGCTGAGATAATTTAGATTTATTAAAAAGTTGAAGCCCTTGAGATTCAGCCAAAGAGAGTATATTTCTTTATCTAGATTTTAGTGGTATGGCTCTTGTCTGTGTTTTGTTTTTCAGCTCCTTGTTTATAACTCATGAGTCAAAACTGGCCATATCTGGGCTTTGACCACTTAATCCAGTTTTACCCATAAATTTCTCCTGTGTCTCAGGCAGCAGAGATAGCTTCTCTGAATCCCAAATTTCTTATCAGAGCATGCAGCAATCATAGCCTGCCTCAAAAAGCTACCAGGAAAACATCTGACATCTAGAAAGCACTCCACAGTGCTTCTTTGCCATAGACTGGTCCCCCTGTCTTTAGAGAGCACCAGTCTTAAAGACAGTCCTCTCACCACTCTGTCCTGTTCACACACACCCCCAATACACACACGCATATCTGCATGCTTGGGTACACACACACACTCTCTCTTCAATGCCACAGTCATGTTGCACATCACCAAGGCCACATTCTCTTCCAGTAGAACCTTCATCAAAATCATGCTTCTCACCTGAGACACATAGAAGCCTTCTCTTCTAAAGCTGCCACTCTTGCCTGTCACCTGCAGATAATACATCTTTTACATGAGAGACACCATTGTCAGAGCGGGGAGACCTGGGGTGTATCTGCTAGCCTTGAAGCAAGCAATGCCATGGCACGTGTGTGTGCATGCATGCCATGAATGAGCTCGTTACGTGTCCCTTTGAAAGGGCCAGTGTGGCCCGTTACTCCTGCCCTGTCCTCAGAACTAGAAAGTCATATGGAATTAAAAGAGAAATCTTTATCAGAAGTCAAACTCTTTTCTCAGTTGCCCCCTCTCTTTCTCCTCAACTCCCCATTCCCCCATGGTCTGAAATAAAGCTTGAAGACCAGTTTAGATCTTAAATCTCAGCTCCAGTGGAGCAAAACCTGACCTTAGCGTTCCTCTCACACCAGTTGTCCTGGGTTTAATTAACGCTGCCCCTGTATGTTTAGGCAATTACAGTTGTAAGACACGGGAGTGCTGCAGGGGGGGCCTCAGCCAGGGCAGGACGCAGTGTTCGCCCCCACGGCTCATACAAGGCTTGTCGCCCAGCGGGAAGCACCCACGCTGCCATCTCTAACGTGCATGCTAAGTGTTTTCCTGTGCAATTCTACATACTGAAAACAGTGATTCCTAATGATGCCTGAATTATTCACCCTTCCATAGCGAGGTGGTTCCCTCCTCGTGGGGTCAGGGTACCCAGCACCCTAGCCCTAAAATCTCCCTCACTTCACGGGAAGTTGCATTTTTCCCTCAGCAATTGCAAACATGATCTTGCTGAATGGAGCTGAATTTTGAAGGCTGAGTTTGCGGTGTGGATTCTGATGGCTTCACGTTAGTTCAAGTCTCTGAGGACCTGTGCCAATAAATGTGAAAGGGACAACAGTAGATTGGCATACTTTTCCATTTCCACCAGGATGAAAAACTGCTATAAATTAAGTCTAACCTTAAATGTATAATCTGTCCTTGGGAAGGGGAGAAAAAAAAAAAAAGGATATAGCATCTTCAAGCTCTCGGCATCCCTTACGAGAAAAAATTGGTTCTAAGGGTCTCTGATCTTGTGTTTTAGTAAAATAGAACTGCACGGCTGACTGACAGTTCTGATCTAAAGCATTTACGTTTAAGTTTTGATCTCTCTGCTTTTGATTAAAACTAATGAGCTCATTTAATTCAAAATGGGAATCTCTGATAAGAGAAATAAGGTTGATGTGATTGGATTAGAGGGGCAAATTAAACTCTTAGAGCAGAAGTTTGTGCTTATATAGTGTATTAAAAAGCTGTTGGCGTATTATGGCGTGTTAGATGATGAGAAAAATTTCATAGTAATTCATATTTAATCAGAAGAAATGAAAGTACTAAATATAACATGGCTCTGCTTTTCCCTCGAGTGATAAAAAGCTGTACATTTAAAATGACATCAGATCCATGCTCTCTAAAACAAAAAAAAAGAAAAGAAAAGAAAGAAAATCTTAAGAGAGACACATAAGAAAGGGACACTTGTCAATGGTTCCCTCACCCCAGAAGAAAAGTGCCACAAACATAGGAAAATAGAGCCCTATTTAGGCAGGAATGATTCAAGAAAAGCCACAGACAACGAACAGCAAAGTTTCTGTTATAATAGGAGCTTGTATTCGTCCTTCATCTGAGCATCAAGTTTCATGTAAAAAATAGGTATTTCTTTCCCTTAGAAACATATGAAATATGTTTCTTAATGCTGGAAGGCTTGTTTTTGCTATTTTTCTTTGTTTTAATACCTGTTTTCACATTTTCTTAATTCTTACAAGTCCCTTTGTGACACATATTTCTTTGCCCCTCACCCCAGAGGAAATTAGTGGCAGGGTAAGGCTTCTAAAAAAAAATCCTATTTGCTGTTGGACATTTTTTTTTTAATTTTAAACCCAGAAAAAAATTTTAAACTTTAAAGTATTGTTTTAGGAAAGTAAAATTAGGCAGTATTGATTAGGCTCTAAAATGCCAAAATTAATTTCTTTGCAGAAAAACACTTATATTTATAAAATCCATTAGAAGATAGATTTTTTTTTTGTTGCCTTGTGGCCTGTTTGCCTAAAGGTATTTGTAGATCAAGACTGCAAACTACCATTTTAAGTTTCAGAAGAAAAGAATTGTTCCCCTTAACCTAAAAGTGCATAAAGGGAAAGAATAACTGTCTTGCTTAAGAGAGGAGACTATTATTTGTTAATACCCCGTTCAGATGGCAGTAGGGAGGACAAGCTGCCTTTAGTGACAAGAATGGACAGTTGGTATTGTTAGTAGTTTTTATTCGTTTCCGTCTATACATTCCATTCTAAGCCCTCTATCGGGAGTCAGTTGAAAAGACGTTATGCTTTCCTATTCCCCCACAACAAAGGAGACCAACTCAGGAGGGCAAGGACCCTGGCCAGGATACGGTTTCATGGTACTTAGACAACTGCCCAGTGGGCAAATGTTACCAGAAGTGATTTGCAGGGAAAACAAAGAGCAAGCTATCTGTACTCTTCATCTGAAGACTCTCTGCCTCAGTCTTGGTTGATGCCGTAAATCTATGGTGTCCTTTTTCACGCTCTCCATGTGCACGGGCCACACTGCCAGGTGTGCTATTGCTACTTACTTACTGTAGATCCTACTTGGGGAGCTGCTGGAAGTTAAAAGGCCTAGAAAGCTCCTGCTAGAAATTGGAATGGAGTTACTTTGGATTCATTAATTTTTCTTTTTTATTTTCTGCAAAGGAAACATTTTCTAAATGAGGTACATTGATTACTACGCTCTTAGCACCCATCAGTCATTTATTTTTAGTGAACTCAAGGATTGCACCTGAGCAGTAGCTGTGAGGGGCTGTGTAGACATCTAAATCATGTGTGTGTATATTTTTGTATTCTTCAGTGGAGTCAACCAGCCCCAGTCTGCTAACCACTGACAACACCCTTGAGCGTTCCTTTTTCATCCGAATGAAATCTACTCTGACCAAACGCGGCGTGCACATCAAATCATCAGGATATAAGGTAAGCTGGGCTCTGGGAAGGGACATATTTCTGTCTCAGGCCAATCCTAGGTCATTTGCATCGAGCTTCCCAGCTGGCTGCTTTGGGTCCATATAATTAACGCCTGTGACCTTGAGCAGCCCATGGGGTTCTTAGTTATTTTCCTGTCTCAAGGTAGGGGCTTCATTATACCTCTCATTCTCACTTCAGACATTGCTGAAGCACTAAATCCCTCAATATAGTGTCTTTTCTTAAAACACTTGTTAATAATGCACCAAGGTCTTCAGCACTTGCTAGAAATTCACTTTGATGGGGAAGCTGAACCAAATTCATATCAGTCCTTAAGATGAGTGTTCTAGAATGGATACTTGTAAGAATTCCACTTCTCCCTTCAAATTCCCCCTTTCTCTTTAAAGAAAGACTGTCCATTTTACTGACTTCTTGGCCACCAAGACTCATATATATAAATAAGAAAATCAGGTTGGATGTCAGGAATCTTAATTGAAATTGCACTTATTGCACATTCAGTCATACCTTAGCATACATAGAATACTCAACATACACAGCACACGTTCCCCACAACAGCCAAGACCAAGTCTGGAGTCATAATCTACATTATTATCATTTTAAGGGTAAGGATAGAAAAGCCTCCTAATCTCGGGAAATTCCAGCATTTCGGTTACCATAGCAACATAAATTAAGACCTATGAAATTTATGAAATGCCTTTGGCAACCTGAAATCTTATCAATTTTACAGCACACTAACCACTCTCTCACACAATATTTACCATATGCAGGAGGACAAACAGCACCCGAGTATACAAGAGACGTGGCTGGCATGACCTTTACCACTTTTAGAGTCGAGAGCTTCCAAGAGCTCAGTTCTTTAGGGTTACCGTAGCATTGCCAGGGATGCTTAATAGTCATGATCATTGGGTTTAAAACCCATATATAAGTCATCAGAAACCAGCGGCCGCATAAAAGTCAGAGGCGGGTACTTTGTTTGACATGAATTCTTCAGAGGGAGGCAGGCCCTTCCACAAGTGACCTTTAGCTGAGCTGTCCTACCGTCTGAAAGGTGCACGTGGAACATCCTAACCTTTAACAGGGTTCGAAGAAGGAGACGCTTCAGGCAGCTCCACCCGCAAGAGTATGACCCCATAGCGAGGCCTGTTACAAAGGGATACATGGAGGAAAAAAATCCCAACTCTATCCTTAGGATTATGCTGATTTTTTTCCTGCCTTACTGAACACAAGACATTTATTCATTATGAAGTGTGTAGCTTTAGCAAGTTTGGAATCTCTAAGCAAGCTGTAGGAAGAGCAGTTGGTGTCACTTTTATGGTAGGAAGCTGCGGTGTTTGCATTCCAGTCTTTAGAAGCTGCAGGCCTTCCTTTTCACCTCTGTTGTGTCAGCATTTGTTCCTCACTTTGAGTGGCTTTTACTGGTTTGTAGGGGGCATGTCCCAAGAGGGAGTAAGGGTGGGAGAGGTGAACCATAGTTTGACAAAGCAGCATTTAGTATACTTCAATATCATTGGGTAGTTTAATTTTTTGAACAACAATAAAAAATTTACTGCTTTCCCGTGACCGACTAGAGATCATAAAGCCCTGCGAAATTTTGAATCTACAAAAAAGTACACTGTCCAAGTGGAGAAATCATTTGTGTTTCCACCTAGGCAAGAGACCACATAGCTTGCATTCTTTCTGTTTTTGTCATTTGGTCAGCTCAGTACAGCTGCGTTTGCTGCATGGCCTGAAATTGGACAAGCTCATTTCTTAAATATTAATAGATTATTCTTTCGATGAATTTTCCTTGAGTTCCTACTCGAGAGCCTCTTCTAGATCCAGTACCCCAGCATTAAACAATAAAAAGTCCCTGCTTTCATGGTACTTAGATTCTAACAGCGAGATACAGTCAATAACAATAAATAAAGAAGGTGATTTCGGGCAGCAATGAAGCCCAAAACAACCGTAGCTACCGTAGTAGACATGTTACAGTATCTGGGCATGGTGCCCCATGCATGCATCAGCCCTCACCACAGTCCCAGAAGAAAAAAAATTGTCATCGTTTCCACTTTACAGGCGAAGAACCTAAGGCCAGGGGTTAATTAGCATACCCAACTTCACAATTTGAAGGGACAGAGCTGGGCTTGAACTCTGGGAGCCTGAGCACCGAACCACTAGGCTATACTGTTATGCTGAGTGGCTGGTGGGGCCACTTTGGATAGCAGTCACGGAGGGTGTCCCTGAGAAGGTGACATGTCACCTATGGGGGTAAATGAGAGCACACCACCACGGAAACAGCAGAAGAACAGTGTTTGCAGAGTTCCTTGGGCTTGGGATTGAAGACGCCTTGCTGCAAGAAAGCATCCTCGAGAAACAAAATGAAATAGTACAATCATGAACATCCAGGATTGGAAAAGAGCAGCTATTCTAGTTTCCATCAAATCCTGCCATGTTAAGGTGATCATATTCCTCTGACCAACCCTGCCCATACATCTTCCGAAGACATCATGAAGGTCGCCATCCAGTACCTTACCTCTCTCCCCAGTACTGCTAACATGAGAGATGATTCTTCCACTCTTTCCCTGATAAGATGAATCATCCAACAGCTCCAGCTCTACCCCTCCTCCTCCACGATGCCCTTGCCTCGTTAATTAACCTTGTCTGCAAGTTAGGGGAAGAGCTGATGGGAGCCCATGACATGACACAGCTGAAGAACATCCCTACTTATCTGTGCATTCTCAGTAAATAAATCTAACAGCTTATAAAACATTCAAATAAAACTGGTAATCACCCCACCACCACACAATAAGCACAAATAAAAAGAAACAGCAATGGTAATTTCACCACGCTCCCAATATTCCTCCTAATTTATTACCATTGTTTGTTTCTTTCTTTTCCCGTAAAGCTCCAAGATGTGAAGCTGTGACCAATGCAGGCCACTGTACTTCTCCATTTTTTCTGTGACCTGGGCACATACGCTTTTCTGACTTGTCTGTCACCTTATCTGCCACTCTTTCTTGAAGAGTGTTATTATCGCTGACAGTAATAATGGCTGCAAAAGTAACGCCTGCCGAACATTGACTCTCTGACAGGTACTCTGCCAAAGACTTCATACTTCTCTAAACCATACAGTATTGAAAAACTTCCTCTGTGCCAGGCATTTCTTCAACTTTACATACTATTATTATGCCCATTTTGCAGGTGGTGAAACTGAGCTTTGGTGGGCTCAGTACTTTGCCCATGTTCACATAGCCCTCAAGCAGCTACCTAGGAGTCAGGATTGAGCAGGCAATTAGGCTCCAGAGTCCGCCCTCTCTACCCTCTGCTTCAGTCCTTAACAGATAAAGGCCAAAGAAGAGCTCAGCAGGAGCTGGACCTCAACAAATGGAAGGTTCCTCTCAATTTTTAAAAGAAAGACCCCCTGCCTGATTAGGACCTTCTCTTATGGCCCAGCACATCACACAGCACTCCTTTACGGAGATCCGCAGAGATTTATCTTCCTTTCCAGGGACTTGAGGGACTTGAACACCTGCCCAGGTGCCGACCACCAAGAATTCTAGCCAAAGAAGTGCCACTCTGAATCTGCAAATTCAAGTAGAGGGTGTGTGATATAGGTTGCTGTTGCTTCCACGCCCTGGGCCTCGGGAAAGTTGCCCTCTTGCCAATGAAGTTTCCCAGCCGTGAGCTGACATTCAGTTGTCTCTGTCCTCATTTGCTTTGAAATCCACGGTAGCACGTTATCTGGACCAGCCACTTTTTATGCCTCAGGGGCTTCTTGTTGTTTAGGTCCCATTGTTGGCCACATATCTTAGCCTAACACAGCTCTCCTTTAAATTGCATTGCATCAATATTCTGCCTCCTTGATTAGGTCTATGTCTGGGGGAACTTACTAGGTATAGCACAGGGGGTAAAAGGAGATATGTAATCAGGGAAATTAGAGAAGTGAAGACTAATTGGGTCGCCTCCTTCGCTCCTGTCTTTGGAGGATAGTTTCCATTAGCCTGGGACTGTCAGTTTTCTAATCTGCTCTTCAATGCCCACCAGCACCACTGTCGTTTCTGGCGTTTCTATCCACACACATTGTGATGTCCTAACTGGGATGGCATAGAGGAGCATCCTGGGCTGAGAAACAGACACGAAAGAGAGAAACTCTCTGTTATGCATATAGGATACTGAGAATGTCTCTCAACTCACTGCAGAGGTGAAAACCTTCCCATGCCAAGGGGTCCTGCTAGGTCATACAGAAACAAGTTACTAAGGGAGTAAGGGGGGCACTTCAGATTCTTCCCTCCCCCCCCCCAAAAAAAAAAAAACCCAACTCCCATCTGGGATGATTTGGGTATGGATTTGCCTGTAGCTAAGTGTCCTACTAAATGATTTCTGGGGCAGCCCGGGTGGCCCAGCGGTTTAGCCCCGCCTTCGGCCTGGGGTATGATCCTGGAGACCCGGGATTGAGTCCCACATCGGGCTCCCTGCATGGAGCCTGCTTCTCCCTCTGCCTGTGTCTCTGCTTCTCTCTCTCTCTCTCTCTCCTAAATAAATAAATAAAATCTTAAAAAAAATAAAAATAAATGATTTCTGTAACCAATTCAGGCTCCTTATGACATAAAGAGATAAAGAGTCAGAAAGCATAAGTAATAGAGAAAATAATTTGTAGGTTCACTAGCTTATTGGGACTGCAGATTTACCTCAGCTCTAAGAATACCTGTATCTAGACATGAAGTAACAAAGGCAAAAAAATGAGAGGGTGCTAATTAGCTAAAACAAATTCTTCTCTGCTTTCTCTAAGCACAGAGATGCCTTTTTAATTGAAACCTGTTCGTTTTTGTTTTGTTTTTTTTTTTTTTCAAATTCATGGTTGCGTCTGTTCTGTGGGAAAAGGAACTCCCCTAATTTTACTAGTAATTTGTTTTATTTGGGGTGTCATAAATCCCATTAATGATTTGATTAAATCTGTGGAGCCTCTCCCAAGGTAAATTTATTTTACATCAGGAAGTTCCTGAATCCCTGAG